GAAGTCTACCCTGTCGTCTAATCGTACGAGTATGCTTCTAACTTGCATCTGATATATGTTCCTAATGTACTTTGTAGTGAATAAACAAATATGTAAACATTTGTGCGCACATTAATAATGTGCATATATGCATACGTTACAAATGCGTCTCGCTTTCGAAAAATACCATTTCTTGCTAATAGTAGAACTTTTTGAAAGTTTAAGAAAAATATAATTAAATCAGTTCTTCTGTAAAATGATATTCAAAGATAACACATTTCCACGTAACACATTTCTCGTCGTTTTCTCAATTTGTTTTCCGGGTTTGAAACAAAAGGTGCGCGGTCTTCGATTACAGAATTAATTTCGTCGCCGCCGTGGTAAAAGAAGCTAACTCCTTTTAGTTAAGCTTTACAGTAGAGAAAAAGATCTCCTTAAGCAATGACTACGCACTACCTTAAAGATAAAAATAAAACCATTTTGTTACCCTTTGTATACTATATTTATTGACCTTATAAAAATATATTTTTCGCTACAGTTTTAAGTTATCAATGAAAAAAGAAGTTGGCAGGCTTTATTTCCTATCAAAATATAGCAATTGGAGGTAGCAGTTTTTACAATAACTCAATCTTCGTTGTAAACAATTTGCATCACATCCCCTGGCTTTGCATAAACATGCCTATCAGGCGGGGAAATCTTGTTAGATGGTTCGGCAAAATCTGGTTGGTCATTAGGATTCAGGCAGAAGGGGGTCAAGATGTCACGTGCCGAGCTCATGACTGATTCCCTGCTGGTCTAACTTAACGGCTCTAACATCTACGCCCAGGCCTATGCAAATGATGTGACCTGGCTCATTACAGGCCATTCTCTGTAAGTTGTTTGCAGGAAACGCAAATAACACTGAATACTTATGTTTGACACATGGTGTAGTGAGGATGGGCTGTTCTCTTACCCAATCAAAACTAGTGTTGTGTTCTTCACTAGAAGGAGAAAATCCATTTCCTTATTCTCCCTGACCTCAAGGGAGTCACTATTCAAATTTCTTCCGTAGTAAAGTATTTACGTTTTCCCTCAGTATCAGGAAGTTATTTTTACCGAACAGTGGAGTTAGTAGGTTTTATCGTGGCGACAACGATTCGTTCCTGTATGTTTGGCATTTCATGAATAAAATGTCACCCTAGTGTTAAAAGAATAACAAACATACCGATAGCAGCACAGCCTCACAAAACAAAATATTTTTTGGAACGACAATGAAACCAAGGCATATTTAACAGGTCTCTAAACTACCAAAAATATTGTTAATTTTTTCTTTTACAAAAATTCTTAATGCAAAATGTATTTGCATGTGAATATTCGAAAAAAAAACGATTGAAACCCAGGCTTTGGGACGTTTCCCTAACTCAGGAGCATAAACGCTAATCATTGGGCCCTGCAAAGGATGTATTGATACTTCTGAAATGAAACAAATTTACAAAGGAAAAGAGACTTTAGATACCAGAAGCAACAACAAAATACACCTAAGTGTTGTTTTTGCTCCAATGATACTACCTGTTTCATATGCCTTGAAAGGAACCTTGATTTTTATTTGTTGTTGTTAAAAAGATGCCAAGGTTCGTTCCTAAGATCTTTTTTGCTGATTCGGTTTCAGCGATCGCGGATTGTAACACATTTGTGTGTGAAGTTTTACCATTTCTATATGGCTAGGAGTGTATAATTGTATATTCACCACCACACAGTGGCCAATTTTCAGAAAAACTTGTCAAAAGTCGAAAAGTGATACAATTTTAACGACGCCTTGTGTATCGTATCCATGTTTTTGGTTGTTGCATTTAAATTTTACCAAATACATACTTTCGAAATTTGAAATGGCGGGTCCATAAAAGCCTTTGTGTCCGAATTTTAGCAAAACTAGTGCAGTGAAGTATTAAAGGTCACTATTAACATGTTTACTGTTTTTGTAATATACTTCCGATATATCGTTACCTTAACTCACAAAGGCCCTAACAAACAAATTTTTAATTTTACAGGATAAGTAAAAAACATTATGGAACGAGTATCAAAAACAAGTAGATCTTTTACAAAAGTTCCATGTAACTACATTATTTTTGGTACTAACATTTTAAAATTTTTATTGAAGCTGGATTTTAATACATCCTACCAAAAAACGAAGTTTCGCAAAAATGTGTTGGTTAGGGCCTTTGTGAATTGCGGTAACGAAATGTACAATAGAAAATTTATATACAAGAAAAAATTACTTGAATTACTTTATCAAAGGTGCGTACTACTTGCGATATAAAACTGACGTCAAAACTACAATGGCACCACTTAGACACTGTTTAAAATAGTCCAGAGCCTTAATTTTTCAACCGATTTGATTACTAGTGAAAGCTAATAAAATGTAGAAGAGGTTTGCCTAGCCCGATTTTCGAATTTGTATTTGGTTATCTTAAATTTGTAATGCAAAGTGCAGAGAAAGTAGCAATTTTAAAAAATAATAGCTAGTTGAAAATAATAAAAGGGTTCACGAACACGAAGGGTTCACGAAAAAACTGCTAAGTAAAAGTTTGAGGTCAAGCATCCCATTTTCAACACATTTCGGCAGTGGACTTCTTGTCGACTCTTATTTGTNGCAATTTTAAAAAATAATAGCTAGTTGAAAATAATAAAAGGGTTCACGAAAAAACTGCTAAGTAAAAGTTTGAGGTCAAGCATCCCATTTTCAACACATTTCGGCAATGGACTTCTTGTCGACTCTTATTTGAATTTCTAACAGAAATATACCAAGTTTTACTACGCGCATGATGGTTTTTAGTTTTTGGAATTGATAAACAAAATTAACTGAACCATGCAGCTATTGTGCTCTGGCTGTTGGGCTAGTTTTTGCTGACTCTCAATTAATTTCTTGAAAAAGTTATTGTGTAAAAATGTTGCATAGCCTCATGGCAATCGATTCACCCAGGCACTTGACCACACATCAGTATCAGAAAATATTTTGGTTCATTTGCATTATAATAAAGTTGTAATTTTTTTTATTTTTTTTTCAGTAAACTATTTAACAATTAGTAAGTGCATCCAGTGGTCAATAGCCAATAAAAAACGTTCATACATATTAGGGCGGGTCAATTTGTATGGGAGATTTTTTCGACTAAGCGCATATAGCTCAGAGGGATTCTACGTGTAATTTTAAGCAAATTTTCCAAAGAAACGATGGGTCTAATATCAATGTGGAGTTTGTCGAATTGCGAAGATAGACACTAAGAAATCTGCAGTAATTTCGTAAAGAAATGCTTACATTTTGTATAAAACCCTGTTATAAGGGGTTCTTTGGTATGAGGATCCATTTCTACACTTATCTTTTTCTTTAAACTTCCAGCAGAGGGTGGAAAAGTGAAATTGATTTTAAAACCATAGTTTCTTCGGCAAATTCACTAAGAATTACACGTAGAGTTCCCCTATGCTATACGCGCATAGTCAAAAAAATTGGCCCTCATTATATTAATAGTTATTTATAATAGTTGGGATAAATATATATATATTAATGTATATGCATATGTACATACATATATAGTATACGCTTTACTGAGTGAAATGTGTTTGAAACTGCTGCTTTTCGTCTAGCTAATTTCATTTTCATCAAAATGTACTGTGTGTCTTTATTTTTTTCGTTTTCGTTTTACACTTTTTGTATTTTACTTTTAACATGTATTTAACAATTGTTGTGAGATACGCATAAACGTAAACTATTTATAAGTTTTGAGCTTCAAAATATATTTAACATCTTACATATATACAAACATATGTAGATACTCATCTTATGAATCAATTTACCGAAATGTAGCTTTATAAATATGTGTATGTTTTTATTCATTTAAGTGCAGTTTTCACCATCTCTGGTTAACACTAATCCCCAGTTAAACATTGTTACCGACGTTTCTGACTCCATGCATATAACATTGTGTCGATAACGTCGGTAACGATGTTTAACTGGAGATTAGTGTTAACCAGAGATGGTGAAAACGGGCCTAAAAGTGTTATTCAAGTATTTGGTTTTGTGTCACGAAATAAACAACCAACCAACGGGGCTATAAACAACTAAGAGAATTAGAAATAATGAACTGTAGTTTAGCCAAAACAGGTGCTCGTTCTTTACGTTATCAAATACTTAATTGCTATCTTATTGCTTTCACCATTTTTAATATAAATTAATATTTTATATTTATTTTATTTGTTTAAATTAAGTTCTACCTATTCCTCTGGAATCATTCGTGCGCCCACTGCATATTAGTGATATCTCTTCAGAATTTTCGTACATAATGATAACGCATACCGCACGCTTCCTTCGAAGATATCGTATTCATTCTCTGTTCACATGCTGAATTAATAGGGGTATTCACGATCCAGTGGATACTATCTAGCATGGTGCATAGATAGCATAAATAGCATGCTTGGCTAATTTTGTTGTTGTTTGAACCAGGGTTGTTGCGAATATTATTCCGAAGTAAAAGTCCTTTCCGGATAATAAACAAACCGCTTATCCAAAATAAACAAGTTTGGTACCAAATTAAAGAGGACTTTAATATCTTTATAACTGAAATGTCTAAACGAGGAAAGCCACATATTTAAAAATATTTCAATAAAAAATGTTAATCAAGTAGCACAGAATAAACCTTGTGTCAGGTGTATGCATTTCTTTAGTGTTAAATTATAAAAAAAATATAAATTAAAATCGTTCGTTATTTCTGTTTATAAGCTATCTCATTCCTCTTTCATATGATAACAAATTTGTTTAATTTGGACAGGCGGTTTGTTTATTATCCGGAAAGGACTTTTATTTCGGAATAATATTCGCAACAACCCTGGTTTGAACACATGAAACAACAACAATCATGCAATTTATGCTATCTATGCACCATGCTAGACAGTATGCATCAGATCGTGAATACCCCCAATGTATTACTTAGGGTATTCACAAGAGTGTCGTAACGGCTAGATATATATTTAGTAGATTTGCAATGTATATGTGACACGTAAAGTTAAAAGGGACCTACGGTCAGAAAAAATCGGTTTTCACTTTTTCATCGACTCTTATAGTAAACGGGCCACTCTTTCCAATGCTTTCTAGCTGCATTAGTTTTTTCACAATTTCACTTCAAAGTAAGGTACTTTCACAAAAAAAAGTACACAAAAATTAAACCTGACAAACTATTCTGAAATTGATCAATTTCGCTTGAAACTCGTTACTCGGGCGTTTTCGAACATCGGATTCGTAATCACTGACCTCGTTTTCGGTGTCAACGACATTTTTGAGTTTCACATGAATCCGAACAAATTTTAAATTTTTTCCGCCATATTGGATCCGCCATTCTGAATTTTTAAAAACGAACATCGGGTTCGTAATGAGCGACACCAAAAACTCTCGGGTAACGAGTTTCAAGCGATTCCGATCAATTTTTAAAAAAGTCATCCTCCATATTAGATCCGCCATTTTGAATTTTGGAAAACTAACATCGGATTCGTAATCAGCGACCCCGAAAACACCCGAGTAACGAGTTTCAATCTATTAAAACGTTCAGAAGCATCAAAATCAATTTGGTAAACTTCAAAGTCGTAGTTATAAAGTATGAGCAAGAGGACCAGGTTGCATACTAGTAACTTGTTATGCTGACCTGGACCACTTCAAACATAAAAAACTGATATATGTGTTGAACACCACCTCTTCGAGGCCGATCGTCAATATGATTCGGTTGCCGAATGTGCAGGTCCAAAAGGAGTAGTTGTCTAGGTGGTCCCATGTTATGCAGTGGTGGACCAGAAGTGGTCCCATGTTATGCAGCGTTGGACCAGAGGTGGTCAGGTCCAATGACATTGCAATGTTAATGTAACCATATTTTTTCCAAGTATTTGGACCATTCTGGTTACTTGTGTTGGTTACAAGATAGCGTGGTCCTGTACTAGTACTTAACCTAGTCCCACTCTTTGCAGGGTTTTTACTCCAGAATTCGTGTGCAGTGGCTCTCATTGGTATACGTGTATTAGTAAGATTCGTTGCCCCTTCATGTTTGCCCATGATTTTCCCCTGATCTAGCCCGTGAAATGGGCTCGCTTGCCCATACGGGCAAATGTGCCCATGTCTGCTCTAGGATGTCAACAAACCGAAATGACGAAAATGATCTCCTATTATTAAAACGCAATAACAAAATACACGGGATTTTTAGTTATATTCTCTTGCTACCACCTTATATGAATTCGCCTTGTTTAAAACCATTTGCTCAGCTTTGAAACAATTATGCGTGAGAAATTTTGACTTAATAGAGAGTGCTAGAAATGTTGATTAACCCTAGAACCAGGGTTGCCACTGACGAAAAAAAAATATTTACCATGCACTTGAGCAAAATCTACCAAATCTAAAAAATATCTACCAATAAATTTTTTTATAGTTATTTTAATAAAAACTATAGCTTTATTTTTTTCTTTTTTTCAATTAAAACTACACTTTTGTTATTTTTTTAGTCATTTCAATAAGAATTAAAATTGCTTTTAAGGAAATTTTTATTTAGCTAATTATACGGTATTTGAGTCATATTATTAGCATATTCGCAGTTTCTTTCAAAGCGGAAGTGATGAAACTAAAGGCAACAACGAAACTTCATAATTTGAAAAACTTCAACTCGAGTTATTATAGACAAATACTTCTTCTTCTTTATTGGCGCTGTAACCGCCTAAGCGATTTTGGCCGAGACCAAAACAGCACGCCAGTCATTTCTCTTCTGTGCTAACTGACGCCAATTGGAAATGCCAAGTGAAGCCAAGTCCTTCTCCACCTGGTCTTTCCAACGCAGAGGAGGCCTTCCTCTTCCTCTGTTA